TCCTTTCTTTCTTTCTTTCTTTCTGTCTCTCTCTCTCTTTTTTTCTTTTTTTTTTTTTTTGATTTTTCGAGACAGGGTTTCTCTGTAGCTTTGGAGCCTGTCCTAGAACTAGCTCTTGTAGATCAGGCTGGCCTCGAACTCACAGAGATCCACCTGCCTCTGCGCCACCACTGCTCGGCTGAGTCCCAGGCTCTTTAGCACAATTTTAATTTAGGGGACTCTATGTGTGTAGAATGTCCCTTAGGTGGTACTGACCAAGCAGAAATCAGTGGTCGCTAAGGAAAGGCGAGGAAAGCACACAGGCTTATCAATCTCTCATCTGACCCCAGGGCTACGTGACCTTGGGTAAGTCACTAACCCCACGTGTCACTTTCCTTATCTGTGCAAGGGCCGTAGAAATTCCTACCTGACAGGAAGCCAGGGGGTAACACCATTTCACAAACCCCAGGGTTTACAAAGGTCACCTGTGATCTCATCTTTGTCACTGGTCTCTCAGAGGACAAAGAAGGGAAGGACGGTGCAGACACCTAAAAGGACACTCAGGCCTGTCACCGTGTGTCTGCCCCTGTATAGGGGAGTCCACACCTTGGACGCAGGGAAGGAACTTCAACCCCTAGAGGCTCTGTCTCTGGTAGAGAAGACAAGCCTAGTTGCGGGGGTCTCGCCACCAGCCGACCCTGCTACTACCCTCCAATGGGCCTCACTGTCTAAGGCAGCCAGGCCGGTGAGGCCAGCAGCAGTGTGATCAAGGCCCCACCGGGCAGGTGGCCAAAAGCAACACAGAGGTGAGCGGGGAGGAGAGCAGGCTCCCTCTCAGACCTTCAGGCCATCTCCTGGGGACTGCTTCGGCCCCTTCCTCTATCCGGCTCACCCTCACACCCTCATTCGCTTCCCCATGATGAAAGGACTAGGGGCACAGCTCCACCCCATGGCTGGGTCTCCACCCCACTCGCCTCGCTATGCAGGTGGGTGCACGCCACTAACGTCTTTCCTTTTGGCACCCATACTCCAAGGTGTGGGCGGGAATAATAAGATGTCTCCAAGTAGCCTGGGGATTCCTTCCTGTGTACAAGACCCAGGTGTGGCTTGGGGTTAAAGCCCCAATGTTACAGAGAAGACCCTCCCCTCAGGGAACACTTTCTCTAACCCCAGAGGAGCCGGAAGAACTACTGGCTCATGTAAGTCCTGGAGGAGACAAGCCTCGGGGTCTGGGAGAGCCCAGGGTGCTCGCCTGAAGTCCAGAGGTCCATTTTCCTGGGGTGGGTTTGAGAGGTCCCTACCATCACAGGGTCCTGAGAGATGGGGCTTAGTGGCCACCCATGCATCCAGCCCTGACTGCCCTGTCAGGGATAGAGTCCTCAGGGCTATGGAAACCTCTAGAAAATTAGCATGGGCTACACACTTCCAGGAACACCAGCAGGTGAGCTAGCAAGGAGCTTTAGTACCGGTCAGATGGTGCTATGAGTCCCCGGGAATCTGCTCTCTTTGGGGGCTGGGAATACGCTGCCAGCGATGATAGATCACTATGTGTCAAGTGTGAGGTCCTGGGTTCTAAGCCTCTCAGAGCCCCAAACCAAACAACCAATGACACCAGAAACCCAACCGCTGTTTCCAAAGAGGTTTTACAGACATCCTCATGAAGTTCGAAACAAATACAGGGAAGCTCTGGTTTTATGCGGATGGGACTGGGGGTGGTCACGGCGCTCTCTTCCTTCTTTCCCACCCTGCAGCCAAGTCCCACAGAGCCAAAGAACACATCTGAAAAGCCAGCTACCAACAGGCAACCTCCAGGGCTTAGAAAAGAGCCTGACGCACAACAAACGATAAAAAAACGCAAACAGAATGCGCTTCAATATGCGCCCTTCGCAGGCCAGGATTCCGTGGCTCAGAGCGGCTAAGTGACTTGTCTGGGGACCCAGAGCAAGAAGGGACCCCCTTTCCTCTCTGGCACTCTTACACAGAAGCACTCCTTGTCTACAACAGGACAGTCCTTCTTCCTCAAGTCTGCAAACCGACGCTACCCTCCCCTCCTCCTCCCCCTCTGAGCATCCCTCTGTAGCCTCGGTACTCAGAGAGCAGCCTCAGCTGGAATGGCCACCCCACCGAGGGAAGACTCACTTGTTTTGGCAGCCTTGACTTTAGCCACCAGTTTCTGCACACACGTCACATCTCCGTTCTTGACGGCAACGATCAGGTCCTGTTCACGACCCATTCTGATTAGGGTGCCGCCAGGCTCTGGGCTTCCGAGTCCAGGAAGAAGCAAGACGCTGGTCCAGCCAAATGTCAGTTCGCCATGCCTCAGTGCTTCGGAGGACTCCTGGTCCCAGGGGCACAAGCCTGGTGTCCCAGGCAATGGGCTCCTTGTCAGGCAGAGATATAGTCCCTCAAGGTGCTCTGGCAGCTGCCACCACAGGCAGGAAAGTCAGTCTCTAGGGGGTGGAGGCTGCGTGGAAATCTGGACTAAGATCAGCCTGCTGCTTCCGACGGCCTTGGGATGGGCTGAGACTGGGCCCGCCAATTTTCCTGGGTTAGCTCAGAAGCACCAATGCCCATCCAGAGAGCAGTCAGCATTCCCTCTGGCATGAGGCAGCAGCTGTAGACAAGTCCCGGGGGTCTGGAAAAGGTACAGGTTCTCCGCTGAAAAGCTGGCTCACGGCCAGGAAACAGGACCCAGACGATAACCAAGACAGGACCTCTAAAGAGCCCCAAATCACTTTGGGTGCCCTGGGAGTCATGGAGGGTCTGAGCCACTCAGGGGGAGGGGAGGAAGGTGCTGTACTTGAGATTAGTATATAACTATAACACGCAAAGGGAGGGGGTAGTATTCCAGGAGGGAGGGGCTGAGTTGCTTGTGCCCCATGGCACTGGGCAGCACCTCAACCTTGGGCAGGAGGGGCCCTGGCAGCAGGAGACACTGGGGTAGGCAGGGCCAGCAGCCCATTCTCCACAGCCCCAGGCTCTGACACCCACAGACAACAGGCGGGGCGGAGAGGTAGGGCCTGTAAGAGTAGCACAGGCAGATGGGCAGGGGTCACTCCTGTCCACGGTGTCTGCCCTCAGACTCCTCACTACCTAGGCTTCACTTAATAAGTGAACATCCCAGCTCCACTTAGAGGGTGGAGTGGGGAGCTATGGCCCTCATTTTCCGGGGTTGGGGAGGTCTACCTGTAGGATAGGCAAGTTCTACAGCACCTGTTGCTACCCCTTCCTTGTTGCTTCTGAGGTGTGAGGGAACAGCTGGGTAGTGACCCAGGCCAGGGCTTGGACACTGCTAACCAACTGCCTCCCAAGCCTGAATCTGAAACCCCAACCCTCGACTTCCCGCACAAAACCTTAAGTCAGTTCCTCGGTGGCGGTGATTTTGTTGCCAGAATCCTGTGGCATGAGACTCGTGCAGGCCTGGGGCCCAGGTAGGGAACCCCTCATTCCTCATAAGTCCAAGCCCCAAGCAGGAGGGCACTCCTCCGCAAAACCCGCGACCCGCACCGGGGGAGGGTGCTCCTGGCAGTGCCTGGGGTCGGCTGGCTCCCCCGCCCCTCGGAATGCCCCTCTAGCGCCGCGCAGCTCTCCGCAGCCAAGCCCAGCTCCGACCGATCCCGGGAACAAAGCGGCAAGAGGGACCCGGAGAGTCAAGAGTCCGAGGGATAGATAGAGGAGAACGAAAAGGGGGGTCTCAAGGAAGGCGGAAGGAGCAGAGAGATGGAGGCGCCCGCCGATCAGACAAGAAAAGTTAGTTTGCGTATGTTCTCAAGGATTCTGACCCCCAGCCGGGGCCCCGCAGTCTCACCTCTCCCGGCCGCCCCGCCGGGGGTCTGGCTGGCGGTGCTCAGTCCCAAGCACTCTTGACGCTGGTTTTCACTGTCGCCCCCTCAACCAACCCCTTTCTCCTCCTTTCCAAGGCCGGCTCGGCGCCTCCCGCAGGAAATCCCGCCCCTCCCCCCTCCCTCCCGCCGGATCGGGAGCTGGGGGACTGTCCCAGCCGCACAGTCGGATTGTCAATCAGCACCCTGAGTCCCGCCCCAATGCACACTAGGTCCCGCCCCCGCCAGCCAGGATCAGAGCCCCTGGGATCAGCGCATGCGCGCAGGTGAAGCTGTTTGGGGTGCCAAGTGGCTGGTGAGAGGGCGGGTGGATGAAGCTACGTGCCACTGTGTCCTGGCTGGGGATCCCGAGAGAGTTGGGCTCTAGTCTAGACCAGAGAATGAGGTGTGAATAAGTAGAATAGGGGACGTTTTGGCGGTTGAGCCTGGGGACCCCACTAGGGGCGGGGATCCCTTCCTTTTCGTCCCATCTTCTCCCGGCTTGCCCTCAGCGACCTTCGTCCACGAGCAGAGTCGCTGACCCACGGCGGCTGGCTGGAGCAATGGTGCCACCTAGTGGTGAGCGTAGGAACGACCCACGGTGTCACGGCGGGGACCCCAGCCTTGAGGAGGTGCTTTTGGAGGCTGGGGTGGCGATTCAGCACCAGTGTGAGCCGGACAGCGCCTCCCACCCGTGGCCTTTGAACCCTGTAGCCGAGCTCCTCTGGAGAGATTCTTTTGGCTCATCCCGAAAGAACTCCGAATGTCTCTGGACCACTCCTGACCGTCCCCACGTGGCCTCCAGTTTGCAAAGCTGGTATTCGAGGGCTCACTGCTCTTCTCCCCACCTCGAATCTCTTTCCTCTTAGTGGAAGAGCACGAGGCAGTTCAGGGCTGGAGAGAGGTCACACACGTGATTATTCATACTGCATGCCCAGTCGCCAGGGGAGGTTTTACTAGAGCGAGGTGCCCCCAGGAGCGCTGCAAACAGAATAGGTGTGTTCCTGCACGTCTGGAAACCTGCAGATTAAATTCGGCCCCGCCGACCTAGGGACACGTGTGCAGACAGGTGTCTGAGGGACACAGGGCAGGTAGGAAGGCGCGAAGCCAGGTGGATTTGCGCTCGGGAGTGGAGCGCCGGGCGCTAGGACCGCACGGACGTCACGTTCCCGGAGAGGGCGGGGCTTGGGCGGTGCGCGCGCAGCCGCAGCCGGCGGCCCGATGGAGCAAGACTCCGAACCCGCGACCGTGGAGGTTCCCGCGGGGCGTGTGCTCAGGTGCTCCCCGTCACGGGGGCGGCGTGGGGGTGGTGGCGTGGGGCCGGGGCCGCGCGGGGTGGCCGTGGTGCTGACCGCGTGTCCCCGGCTCGCCCCAGCGCCTCGGAACTCCGGGCGGCTCGCTCGCGGTCCCAGAAGCTGCCCCAGCGGTCGCATGGCCCCAAGGACTTCCTCCCGGACGGCTCGGAGGCCCAGGCCGAGCGGCTGCGCCTGTGTCGCCAGGAGCTGTGGCAGCTGCTGGCAGAGGAGCGCGTGGAACGCTTGTGAGAGGGGCTGGGGCCGGGGCCGGGTGGGCGGGGGCCGGGGCCGGGTGGGCGGGGGCCGGGGACTGCCCGTGTAGATCGAGACGCCCCCAACCCACTCCTCGCCAGGGGCAGCTTGGTGGCCGCAGAGTGGAGACCCGAAGAGGGCTTCGTGGAGTTGAAGTCGCCAGCGGTGAGCGACCCGAGCATCTCCGCGTCTGGGGGGTGGATCCCCTCCCTCGGTTCCCTTAGCTGTTTGGTGACACTTGCGCTGATGCCCCACAGGGGAAATTCTGGCAGACCATGGGCTACTCAGAGCAAGGGCGGCAGCGGCTTCACCCCGAAGAGGCCTTGTATCTGCTGGAGTGTGTGAGTGGGCTCCTGGGGCTGTGGGAAAGGGGTTCAGAGTAAGGAATGGGAAGGACCAGGAAGAATTTAGAATTACGTTTTCGGTGAACTTAAAGGCGGACTTGGAGAACAGAAGAGAATGCCACACAGGCAGCAGCGATGATGCTAATCCTTTCTCCTAGCTGGTCACGGTTATGCAGTGATGCTGAGGCTGGAGGGGGGGGGGAGAGGGTCAGAGGCAAGAAGTTGACCCTATTTGACTTGGGCGCTGAAAGAAGGTTACACACAGCTAAGCCCTTGGTCCGCTTCCAGGGCTCTATTCAGCTCTTCTACCAAGACCTACCACTGTCCATCCAAGAGGCCTACCAGCTGCTGCTGACTGAGGACACCTTGAATTTCCTACAATATCAGGTATCAGTTACGTCGCAAGGAGCCTCCCGTTGGTCAAGCTAATGGACGGTGACAAGTACCTCTGAGGTTGCAAACACAATATCACGGCTATAGGACAGTTAGGAGCCTGTGCGGGTCAGGCTTATAGTCAGAGGAGGCAGTTGGATAATAAAAAGTTACTAAGAAGCCAGGCATGGGGGGGGGGCAGTGGTGCACTCTTTAATCCCAGTGCTCAGGAGGCAGAAGCAGGAGGATCTTTGTGAGTTCCAGGCCAGCCATTATACTATATATTTGGAGACTCTGTCTCCAAACAAAAAGTACTTAGTGCTTCTCATGGTTAACCACGTATGTAATTCCAGCACTCTGGAAGCTGAGGCAGGACAATCTCAAGTCTAAGATCAGCTTGGGCTACCTAATGAAACCCAGCCTTAAACAGAACTACTAAACAAACAAGAACCAAATAGAGAATTAGTGCTAGTTGGAAGATCAAATTAGACAAGGAAAAAGATCTGTTCTGGACCATCCTTTCAGGAGAGAGACGGTATAGGCTGGGCTAGGGGCAGTGAGCAGGAAAAGGTATGGCAGGAGTGTTTTGGAGGAAAGGTTGGATGACTAAGAGACTCAAGGCTTGTGACCACCATGGTGTCATCTAGCCGGGAAGACTGAGGTGGGTGTTTATATGGAAGACTGGGACCACTCAGGGGTTCTGTTTGATACAAAGTAACGTTGAGGTACTTCCTGGACATCCAGCAGGATTTCAGGCACACAGTAGATACAACCTAGAATGTAGGGTGAGGGCAAAGCTATTAATATAACCTTGGATGTTTGCATGCTGTGGATAGTATAAGCCATTGTCTCTGAGGGCATGCAACCAGCAGGGGACTGTCACTGTCCCCTGGAGCTCACAGATGTGGGAAGGTTAGTGGAGAGATGGGACCCATCCGTGATCAGGAGGAGAAGAGGAAACCACGCCGAAGCCTCTAGTACAATCTTCAATTCCTCTCTTTTTCTTCTTTTCAGTGTTCTGTTTTGAAACAGGATCTTACTGTGCAGATTTGTCTGTCCTGGAACTCACTATGTTGACCAGGCTGGCCTTGAACTCAGAGATCTGCCTGACTCACTCTCTCAAGTGCTAAGGTTAAAGGCCACTGTGCCCTGCGCTCATTTTTAAAGGAGAAAACAATCAGTTGTGTTGAATGCTGGGAGGAGACTGAGTGAGATGGGGACACTTTTGGGTTTGTTCCTCCGCTGTGGGGACAGGACACGAGCAATAACGTGTGGCTACTTAGCGGAGACTATTCCCATCAAATCTGTGGAGGGTTGGATGGGTGGGGTGATGTCTACCACTGTCTACCACTGTTTTGCCTAGACTTTAATGTCAACATATCCTATGACGTAGGTCTTTCCCAGGAGGCCCACCCCTGTTTGTGTTTTTCTTTTGAGATTTGTATTGTCGATAAATTATTAGATGTCACTTATACCCAGAATAAGAGACAGAATTCAAAGAGTGAAACTTCCTTGGAACATGGTGTTTGCTAATTTACTTTTAGTGCTACTGGGGAAGAATCCAGCAGCCTGTGTGTGCTAGCAAACTCTCGCATTGAGCTGTGGCCCCGCCCACTCTTTTATTTTCTGAGTCAGGGACTTTGGAAATTGCACACACTGACCTTGAACTCTCTCTGTACCCCAGACTGACCATGATTTTGTGATCCCCCTACTTTAGCCTCCCTAGCAGCTGGGATTACAAGCTTGAACCAGTAGGCCTGGTGCGGGTAATATTTATAATGGAATGTGTTTCAAGCAGTCCTGAGGGTGGAGCCTGGAGCTCTGTAGGAGAGAAAGTTTCGGGAGATAGAGGAAATGACTTGTGTTTGGAGAAACCACTATGTTACTGTAGAGAATGGACATCCAAGTCAGGCATGGGGGCACACGCCTTTGATCCCAGCACTGGGGAGGTAGAGGCAGGTGGATCTCTGAGTTCAAAACCAGCCTGGTCTACAAAGCAAGTTCCAAGACAGCCAGGGTTATATAGAGAAACCTTGTCTCGAAAAAAAAAAAAAGAGTGGACATCTAAGCCAGGCATGGTAGTACCTGTCACAATTCCAGCACGTAGAGGTTTAGAGGGAGAAATACAACTTTTGAGTAGTGTGAGGCTAGCTGGTCCACGTAGTTCCAGGATAGCTAGGACCGTACAGCAAGAGCCTTGCAAACAAACATGCAAACAAAAAGCATCTAAGATTTCCTTTTTCTTCTCCTGAGGTCTTCAGCCACCTGAAGAGACTAGGCTACGTGGTTCGCCGGTTCCAGCCGAGGTAAGTCCTTTGACTCATCCACTGCAGCTGGGGGGACCTGACCGACTGTTATAGTGTCCTTCACTTTCCTGGGGCCTTTGGCTACAGTGCAGCATGTGGGGGTGAATTCCATTCCTGCACTTTTTCCTGGGTTGTCAAACTGGGCTCTGCTCAGGTAATAACCAAGTACCTGCAGCTCACTGTGAGCGCAGAACTGCAGTAGCCAGTGCCTGGCATGTAGGTGTGCAGGCCCATTTGTGGAGCGCGTGCATGAGCGAGGAGCTGGGGAGGGATTTATAATTGAGGTGCCGTTCACATTCTTAGGCTGGGCTAGATCTCCCTCTATTACCTAGTGGTCCAGCTTTGCTGAATGCCACAGCCACTTTCAGACTTACAGTAGAAATTGGTGTTGCCTCTACAGTCTGTCCCCAAAACCCTAAAGCAGTTCCCCAAAGTGGGATCTGTTCTAGGGAGACAGGCATGGCTGTGTGCAGAAGTTCCTCCTGAGAATTGTTCTCTCACTCGGCAGTGTTATTGAGCACCTTCTGATGCTAGGCCCTGAACTAGTGGCTGAGGAAGAACAGAACGAAATCACAGCCGCTACCTGCTTATTATGTATTAAAGAACAGTCACAAAACGCCATCACTTTGTAGAATCCGTACTTGAGAAGCTTGGACTCAGCTGCGGAGACCTACCCACACAAACTGGCTGCTCTTTTAAAGCGGTCGTCAACTAGGACTTGTGTAGTACAAAGATGCCCTCTGCGGCAGTGACAGGACTTGAGGTCTCATTTCGTAATTTTAATTGGCTTGGATTTAATGTGAATAGACACTCGTGGCTATCCACCGTGCTGCGCCTGAACTGTGCAACATTGGAAGCTATAAAAATACATAGTGGTGGGAGGGGATTTACAGCAAGTATAAGGCCCTGAGCCCAGTCCCTCAGAACCCAAGGCCATGTGTTTATCCTTATATTCCCAGCACTGGGGAGGCAGAGACAGGCAGATTCCTGGGGCTCAGTAGCCAGCCTGGCTTAATCAGTGAGCTGTAAGCCAACTAGAAACCCCCACCTCAAACAAGATAGACAGCTCCCAAGAGGCACTCTGCTGTTGGGTGCTCTCCCCTCCACACCCCTCTCTCTCTCTGTCTCTCTCTGTCACATACCCTCTCCCCTTCTCATAGCAGGAAGAGTGCTGTGGTGCTAAGTGATGAGGGTCTGAGCCCACAGTGTGTAACTGAGTGGGGAAGAAAAAAGATCTAAAGTAGTGTGTTAGTACAATGTCGGTTTTGTCAGGAAACAAAACAGAAACAAGCAGAGAAACAGTAGTGTGTATGTGCAAGAGATAAAAGTGTACTTGATGGCTTGTTCCAGAACAGCCAGGGCTACACAGGTATTATTGCTGACACTCGGGACCTGGACAGAGGTGGGTGACTAGGCCCCTGTGGCTGTTCCCAGGTACCCTTCCTTTGGGTATGGATCTGCCTCTGGCCTCTGGCTCATCCTTTTGGCCACTCCCTCCCAAATCCTGCCGGCAGCACCAGTCTGAGAAGGTGGATCTGTTGCCTGCCTGCTGTTCTCGCCCCACAGCTCTGTCGTGTCCCCTTATGAGAGGCAGCTTAACTTGGATGGCTATGCCCAGTGCCTGGAGGACGGGACTGGCAAGAGGAAGAGGAGCTCCAGCTGTCGGTAATGCCCCCTGCTGTTGCCACCCCAGGGATATCATGAGCTCCGGGCTTAAGAAGGGGCCTGTGATGCTCTCATACAGGCTTTGGGAGACAGTAGGGGTCCACCTCAATTCCAGTGGGACACACCTGTCCTGGTGACAGTAACAAGGGGAATGAATACACTGCTTTTCCTCCCATGTCTCTAAGGTCTGTTAGTAAGAAGGCTAAGGCTCTACAGAACTCCCTGCCACCCATGAGCGGGGCAGCCTCCAGCCCACCTGCCTGTGACCAGAGTAGCCAGTACTCAGAGAAGCCCCAGGAGTCAAGCCCCAGAAAGGCTCTGGGGTCTTCAGAGCCTTGCCCTGCTCTGGCCAGGGAGGATGTGGAGTGTGGCCAGGAGAATGATAAAATCAAGAATGGAGCCAAGGGGGCTCCTAAACCACGCTGGAACTTTGAGCAGATCTCCTTCCCCAACATGGCTTCAGATAGCCGCCACACCCTCCTGCCTGCCCCAGCCCCAGAACTGCTCCCCGCCAATGTCATTGGGCGAGGGACAGATGCTGAGTCCTGGTGCCAAAAGCTGAACCAGCGGAAGGAGAAGCTTTCCCGGAGAGACCGGGACCAGCAAGCAGAGGTGCAGCAGTTCCGGGAGGATGTGAATGCAGATCCCGAGGTGCAGGGCTGCTCCAGCTGGCGGGAGTACAAGGAACTGCTGCAGAGGCGACAGCTGCAGAAGAGCCAGCCCCGCCCTCCACACCTATGGGGCCAGTCTGTTACTCCCTTGCTCAACCCTGATAAAGCATATTCCCCAGGTATCCCCTCACTCTGCTATACGATAGGCCACTGGGAGCAGAAGGATCATGAGACTTGAAAAGGGCTATTTTGACCAGGGCTGGCTGATGCCTAAGGTATGAGAGGAGAAGGCTGCAGTGGCGTGGGCCCCGCAGAGGCTCCTCTGTAGGTGGGGACCGTGGCCCCAGCAGAGCCCAGATTGCCCAGGGACACTTGCGTGGTGTACCCGCATCCTTAAGGCCATACCCAAGAATGCTGGATGGTTTTGCCAGCAACCAGTTTCAGGTCCCTCACCTTTACAGCCTGTTAGCCAGAACATGGTGGCGCCACAGAGGTTTTAGTCAAATAAGAGGAAAGTTCACTGTCTGTTCTTGGTTTTGGTTTTAAACACAAGGAACTAAGTCTGTGGTCTGAGCTAAGTGTAGTAACAGATTCAGAACTCTGTAAAGGCATCATGGGAACATGGTAGAGTGGTGGGTGAGGAGAGCAGGGTTACCAGATAAGCATATTCTAAATACTGCTACTGTGTGGAGCATACCTTACTGAATACATTCTGGTAAATCTGGTGGTCCTAACCTGGTTAGCAGATTTGGTAGCACCACAGGAGCACGTAGGAAGTTGACTCCCCTCCTCCACATCTTTTTTTCACTGCCCTTGTAGCCGCGGTCCTTGAACATGTCTCCGTGCTGCAGACAACACACCTTGCTGACGGAGGTTACCGGTGAGTCTCAGCTGCGCTCGCTGTCTCCATGACACTGGCTGCCAGGTGGAGCGACAGCTGGGATTTGATTCCTGGAGTTGGGTGTGAGTCAGAGGATCACCCCAGGGACACCTGCCCACATACTTAGCTTCCAGTGACAGCTACTCATGTGCGTCAGGGAAAGGGAAGAATGACAAGATGCTGGGTCTATCCCATGACTAAGCTGCTGTGCAGACGTGGTAGTAGGAGAGGGTTTGGTGTGGAGGGAGGTGGGAGAAGAAGTCCTTGTAACGTTTCTTACCTGGTCCTCAGGCTGCTGGAGAAGTCGAGAGGCTTGGAGATCAGCTTCGATGTTTACCAGGCTGACGCTGTGGCTACGTTCCGAAAAAACAACCCTGGCAAACCCTATGTCCGAATGTGCATTAGTGGGTACGAGACGACTGAGCAGTACCCTGCCTGCTGCCAGCCCCTCGCCTGATCCCTGCCACCAGCTTGCCAGTCCCTGAGGAGAATCTGAGGTCCAGAGGGTTAAGTGCCACCTATCTTAAGGCCATATGGCCAGTTGGTGCCATAGGAACCCAAGCTTTTGAATCCTTGGCTCCTCATTACAGGCATTTTGCAGTAAACTCTCTTCTCTTCCACTTTAGTCCTGGGCTCACTCAGCAGGAGGGAACTGATGTGAAGGGATTTCTGGCTAGGAGTGGTGAGAACCCACTCTGTCCTGCTGTCCCTCCACTCTGGGGCTCCTGGAAGTTCATCAAAGCCACGGAGTTTGTAAACAGCAGAGCCCAGGGCCAGTATTCTTGTATTCCTAGCTTTTGTCTTAGAGCCTTCCTGCTCTGGGAGGGGGGGCAGCCCGGGGCCGTGGGTGGGCTGTGACTAGGCCTCAGTTTAATCTTTATTCCTACAGATTTGATGAGCCTGTCCCAGACCTCTGCAGCCTCAAGCGGTTGACCTACCAGAGTGGGGATGTCCCCCTGATCTTTGCCCTGGTGGATCACGGTGACATCTCCTTCTATAGCTTCAGAGACTTCACACTGCCCAGGGATCTGGAGCACTGAAATGCAGCTGGGGGACTTGGATGCTCTCAGGGACCATGTCTGCTGACTCCTGTACAGGACTCACAGGGAACTGTCTGGGCCAGTGTGGTCTACAGCCCTGGGTATCTGCTGTTTGTAGGGGAGTGAAGCCTTGCCCCATGCCCTTTTGCCTGGCAGTGACCCCCTTGGAACTCAGGACTTGATTTCAGAGGCCCAGGAGATGGGGCAGAAGAGAGGACTCTGTGCCTTTTAAACAGTGGGGTGCCTGCTTCGTGCCATAAAGCCAAAGCCATTAAAAGAAATATTCTCTGCTGTGGTTGATACACTTACTGGACTACCCCTTCCCTTCGTTCCTCATTTGTCCACGCTGAACTTGTCTGTCTGACTTCTAACACCGAGGTCTGAAGGATGCCTGAGGAGACCGTCCTGTTGGTCCTAACCCGGGTGCAGCTGGGTGGTGGCTGAGAGGCCTCTGTCGGGTTGGATTAGACCCCAGCCACGCAGAGGGACCACCCCATGGTTCTTTCCCCCACATGTAACTCCCAAGCTTGAGCTAAAAAAACTAGCCTACCTGCAGTGTCTAGCCCTTTGGACCCCGGGCTCCAGTCGACCACTGAAAACAGAAGTGGGGGGCTCCCAGCAGTGGTTAGGCATCTCGTCATTATGCCTTCGTTCCCACAGGGCCCTACTCTTGGGTCTGAAACCTGCACCTGCGGGTCATTCTAGTTGGAAGGAACGCTCTTTTGAGGAGCCCGCCTGGCTATGCCCCTCTCTCAACAGCTGCGAGAGTAACATATCCTGATACCTGGCATCCATCCTAGAAGGCACCTAGGGACTATTTCCTGTTCCGGGAGGTGGTGGGACACTGGCAACAGGGAGCAGTCCTGTGACCAGGTGCGCGCAGGTGAGGGCGGGGTCGGGCTGGCTGCACTAGGTGAGTCTCCTCGCTGCTGCCCCGCCCCGCGCTCCTGGGGCCCCGATTGGCCAGAGCGCGGCCCCCGCCCTAGAGGGCTCGAAGGCTGCGCCCCCGCCCCATTGGCTCCGCCTAGGGGGCGGGTCCAGGGGCGGGGCGCGAGCTCGGCAGGCTTGCCCTGTATGTAAATCGCGGCGGCTCCGCCCCCCCGCTCGCAGCGCCGGAGGTGAGCAGGAAGGAGACTGCCGCCCTGCAGCCCGTGGGCCGGCGCGGGGAACCGGAGCGGCGAGTGACGGGCGCCGAGGAACGCCGAGGCCTCTGGCAGGGCCCGGCCGGCGATTGCAGGTGAGCCTACCTGGCTTTACACGGTCTTCGAGGGCGCGGACCATTCGGGGCGGCGCGGCGCGAGGGGATCCGAGTCCCCTGGGCTTCCCCGGGCGGGTCGGAGAAGGCAGCGCCCAGGTCTGCCTTCCTTGCTGGTCCAGATCTCCGACGTTTGGCTCGTCCCGGAGAAAGACACCTGTAGAAAGTGGCTCTGAAAACTTGTCTTTTCCTGTTTCGCCACACGGATTACCAAACTTGGGACTCGGGTTTGCACAATCGTGTTGGCTTTCGGGAGCAGGGAACAGGTGTCTGGCCTGGCTGGGTACAAGGGGACACGGTGAGCGGAGACCCAGTCCCGGACCCTCGAGCGAGGCGCCTGGACTCAGAGCCGGGCGACACGGCTTCCCGTGACCCGGCGTGCGCCAGCGGCGTCTGGAGAGTGTTACCTTGGCGGCTTAGCCCTTACCTCTACCATCTGGGCTCTCTCCCTGGCCGTCCTTTGTGCCTCCTAATCCTCCGACGCAGGAAGTCCGCGGGTGGGACCTGGTTCTCTCGTAGAAAGGGGCCACTTCTACGCTCGGGGCGGCTTTGGACACCTTTAGCCGACGGTATGGAGACCCAGACTGTTTTACACGCTGATGGCTGGGGGTTGCACTTTGGGACTTGGCAAGGAGTGGAAAATTCTTGTCAAAGAAAGTGTTCTGTGCTTTCACTGTGTTTGAACAGTTGGTGGACACACTGGGCCTTAGTTGTGGGACGTGGCCATAACTGGGGTAACCGCGGTGTAGCTCTTAGAGGTTTTCACCTGAAACAGGTGAGCTTCCGGTAAGGAGGGCGGGACTTAGATACCGCGTCCCTTCCCTTGGGTACCTACGTTGGTGCAGGCTTTGGAGACTGAAGCCTTTCTGAGCCGGGAGAGAATGGGTGTGTCAGGGTAACAAGGAAATGTTTGTGGGAAGAACTGAGCTGCGCTGCACGGCCGAAGAACTGTGGCCTCCCTAAGAGAAAGCAAAGTTAGAGAGAGTCTGGGAGAAAATCCCCTGGGTCCCTGTAGTAAGCTACCCAGAGAGGCTGGAGGATGGAGGAAGAGATGTTTCTACTGTACAAGACCGGTAGGTTTGTTTGTTTGCTTGCTTGCTTGTTTTTTGGTTTTTTTGGTTCGAGACAGGGTTTCTCTGTGTAGCCCTGGCTGTCCTGGCACTCGCTCTGTGGAACAGGCTGGCCTTGAACTCAGAGGCTCACCTCTGCCTCCTCAGTGCTGGGATTAAAGGCGTGCACCACTACCACCCAGCTGAGTTAGGAAGTTTTAAGTTATCTGCACGCAGAACTTTTGACAGGACTCAAAGCAAGCTTGCTGTTCTCTGATCAGCTCCTGGAGAGCATTTCCAGGTCCTCGGGACATCCTGCTTCTCTACTCTTCCTTGAGGCAATGATAGCTCCTCTTTAGATATAGATTGGGATAATTTTAATTATATCAAAATATTTAGTCTCAAGCCAGGCATGGTGGCCTGGTCTACACAGAGAAACTGTCTTGAAAAACAAATTTAGTCTCTTATTACATTTAAATTTTATTTGTATCTGTGCTTGTGTGTATGTTTGGGCATGCACATGTTGTGGTGTGTGTGTATGTATGTATGCATGTATGTATGTAGGTCATAGGACAACTTTCTCTTCTTCCACCATGCAGGTCCTAAGGATTGAACTCCAGTCATCAGGCTTGTTGCCAGGTGCCTTTACCTGCTGAGCTATCTTACTGGCCATAAAATAATACTCAGTGAACCACAGTATCAAAAACAAAAAAGAAAGGAAGGCTCATATGTTCATTTGAAGAACAGACAAGGAGCTGGATGGGCAGCTTATCTCTGCATCCCAACACTCCTGAGACAGGCAGGAAGGTTGTACAAACTGGAGGACAAACGGGGCTACAAGACCAGCCTCTTGATTTTATTTTTGATTTTTCAAGACACAGTTTCTCTGTGTAGCCCTGGCTGTCCTGGAACCCCGTCTGTAGAACTGCCTGTCTCCCAAGTGCTGGGATTTATTTATTTATTTATTGGTTTTTCGGGACAGAATTTTGCTGTATAACCCTGGCTATCCTGGAAGTAGACCAGGCTGGCCTTGAATTCACAGAGATCCGCCTGCCTCTGCCTCTCTAGTGCTGGGATTAAAGGCGTGTGCCACCACCACCTGGTGTGATTTTACTTTTATGTGTGTGTGTGTGTGTGTGTGTGTGTGTCTGAGTGAGTGTATGCCACATGTAGACGAGACCAGATGACATCAGAGCTACAGGTAGTTGATGAGCTGCCAGACGTGGGTGCTGGGAATGGAATTGAGTCCTCTGGAAAATGTTAACTGCTGAGCCATCTCTCCAGCCCTAAGACCCTTTTTCAAAAAACACACAGTAACCTCGTTCCCCAACATCAGATGGCTCTGAACCCTGTCTTCCAGCTCTTGCCGAATAGTCTTAGGTCTGACACTTAACCACACTGGGCCTGAGTTTCCTAGTGGTTGCTGAGAACATGTAAACACGAGATCACATGACCTCGTACCTAGCAGGTGTCCCCCCACCAGAATCTGTTAACTTTCCTAGAAGGATTTAAAAAGAAAAAGGAAAAAGAAAAGTGCCAGTTGGCCCCATGTAGGCTTTTGGTCTCTGAAGCTGAAGGTCTGAATTTTATCATGAGGACAGGTGTCATGGGGAGAGGGCATTGACCTTTCCTAGTCTGACATCCTCCTTTCTCTGGTCCTTAAAAATTAATTCCCTTATTCTTTTGGGAAAGCCAGGGTGGAGGGCTGATGGGCAAGACATCCCTGTCCGTGTGTGTCCGTATGTCTGTGGCTGTGAGTCTGTCTTCTGAGTGTAGAACCTGTGATCTGTTTCCGCCCAGACGTCCCCTCTCCACTACACCCTGTGGGGGGCGGGCAGGGGAGTGAGAACATTCCTGCACTGCTCCACGGGTCCTCAAGACACTTGAAGGGAAGGTGCCCTTCCTGCCCTCTTTCTCCCCGCCCCTGCCTGCCCTGAGAGAAAAGATTTGGAATCAGCCTGTGGCCCTTTGCTCTCCTGGATGGGTCTGGCAGAACCTTGGGGCCTTGTGGGGAGACTGAGCTTCTTGGTTTTCTAAGACACCCAGGAGCAGCTGTTGAGACACCTGAGTTGGGTACCACTGGAGGCTGGAAAAACTGACACTATCTCCAAGGTGGCTCCTTGGAGCAGCATCGGCAGCTAGACACACTCGGGCTGGGGGGGGGGGGGGTGCTCTTATCTCCCAGTGATACTGTTATCTCGCTCCTCCTGGGCCGGGCATGCCAGGTCTGCTCAACAACTTTTGTTTTCCTCTGCCCAGGCAGGATTCAGAGCAGGAGATGGGCGCTGCCCTGCCCATCAGGGCCACCTGTACTACGTGGCCTCCCCAGACTTGGCTTCCTAGAGATCCCAGGGAAACCCTTCCTAGCTGTGCCCGACTCCCTTTGAGATGGCTTTCTCTGTCTTCCCTGCCTCAGGAAGTTGGTCCTGTGAGGAGTCAGTTGCCCTTCCCAGGAACCGCGATGATGAATTCTTGAGTTAGGAGAGGCTCCTTTGGGCGTGGGGACAGGGAAACTGAGAGGTGTCTGACTCTACCCTTTAGGAATTCAGCAAGAGACTGGAGCCCTCTCTTGAGGGACTTGACTTGGTGCTACCAGGAAAAATAATATTATTATTTTATATAATATTATTCTGGGATATTCCTCACCAAGGAGTTGGTATCCTGAAGCCACAATCTGTGGCAGGGTCTGCACAGGTATCCTGAGAGGATGTCACATATGACACCCATGTGACTTGAGGCCAGAAGAGGAAAGTTCTCTGAGGACCCTGTAAACTCCATCTCAGCATTCTTCTTTTTTCTTTTCTTTTGTTTTTCAAGTCAGGGTTTCTCTGAGTGACAGTCTTGTCTGTCCTGGATCTCTATTTGTAGATCAGACTGGCCCTGAGCTCACTGAGATTCACCTGCCTCTGCTGGGATTACAGGTGTGCGTCACCACTGCCAGGCCGCCTCAGCATTCTTAAGGGCAATGACTAGGGAAGACCGTGCCTACCTAATCTCCGGACTGACTGCTTAATCATTGA